TTAAAGGAACCCTATAGAGAGGTAAACAGTTATTATAAAGAGGAGGGTGATAAATTTTTCTCCTTAACCACCAAGGACAGGACAAGAAGTAATGGGCTTAAATTACAGCAAGGGAGACTTAGGGCATGGCTACACCTGCAGATGTGGAGTGCTGTGAGTTAAACCAGCCTTCAGAGACTGCAGCAGGGAAAGCGCTGCAGTGTGTTCACACTATCAGCTGCAAGCGCACTGGCGTGGCCACATTTGTGGTACTTGCAACGGCATTGGGAGCGGTGCATTATGGGCAGCTATCCCACAGAGCACCTCTTCCCATTCTGGCGCTGTGGCTTGTGGGAAGGGGTGGGGAGTGCAGGGCATTCTGGGTCCTGCCCCAATGTCCCGTGATGCATCAGTTCGCATCCCAGCAATCCCTATGCTTCCCTCCACATTTGGTGACATCTTTCAATGTTTTTTGTCCTGCACACTCTGTCTTCTCTTTTGGTCTGCGGGAATGGATTCTGAACTGCTGAGGACTATGCTGATGGGTCTTGCCAGCACGTCATGAATTGCAATTGAGTTACTCCTTAAGCTACAAACTGACAGTGAGGAGTCCGACGATGATGTCGACTCACATAACGCATATGACATGAGTTTGCTTGTGGCATTCACGGACATGCTCACCATTGTGGAGCGCCGCTTTTGGGCTCGGGAAACAAGCAGTGAGTGGTGGGATCACATCGTCATGCAAATCTGGGATGACAAGCAGTGGCAGCAGAACTTTCAGATGAGAAAAGCCACTTTCATGGGACTGTGTGAGGAGCTCGCCCCAACCCTGCGGCGCAAGGACACAAGATTGAGAGCTGCCCTGCCAGTGAGAAGCAGGTGGCTATTGCAATCTGGAAAGTGGCAACTCCAGACAGCTACCGATCGATTGCTAACTAGTTTGGAGTGGGAAAGTCGACCGTTGGAATCGTGTTGATGCAAGTTTGCAGGGCCATTAATCGCATCCTGCTCAGAAGAATCGTGACTCTGGGTAACGTGCATGACATTGTGGCTGGCTTTGCACAAATGGGTTTCCCTAACTGCGGAGGGTGATAGATGGCACGCATATTCCAATTCTGACACCAGCCCACCTAGCCTCCGAGTACGTTAATCGGAAGGGGTATTTCTCTATGGTTCTTCAGGCGCTTGTGGATCACTGTGGGCATTTCATTGACATTAACGCAGGCTGGCCCGGAAAGGTGCATGATGCATGCATCTTTCAGAACACTGACCTGTTCAGGAAGCTGCAAGATGGGACTTTTTTCCCAGACCAGAAGATCATGGTAGGGGAAGTCGAAATGCTCATTGTGATCCTTAGAGACACCGCTTACCCTTAATGCTGTGGATCATGAAACCCTACACAGGGAGCCTTGACAGCAGCAAAGAGCAGTTCAACAGGCTGAGTCGGTGCAGAATGACTGTGGAGTGTGCTTTTGACCGTTTAAAGGGCCACTGGCGCTCTCTGTATGGGAAGCTGGACCTGGCTGATGACAACATCCCCACGGTTATATCCGCGTGCTGTACCCTCCATAACATTTGTGAAGGAAAGGGTGAAAGATCCACTTAGGCATGGACCTCGGAGGTTCAACAGCTGGAGGCTGAATTTGAACAGCCAGAGAGCAGAGCTATTAGAGGGGCCCAGCGTGGGGCTGCAAGGATTAGGGATGCCTTGAGGGACCAATTTGAGGCTGAAAGCCACCACTAATGTTTGGTGCCCTGCACGGGAGTGAAGTGCAGTGGTTCCAATGTTAGTAGGAATCTCTGTTTGCTACGTATGATGCACTGACTTGCAGTGCCTGTTGCTTTCCTGGGCTATGGTATCTTTTACTTAATGCAATAATAAAGAATGTTTTCAAAGCCAAAAAATTCATTTATTGAAAAGAAACAGAACTTCTTGGGAAACAGAAAGGGCATGAGACATCTGTGCAGTGTGGGATGAGGGAAGTGGGTGGGGTGGGGTGGGGAATGGGACAATCACAGATTTGAGTATGTCCTGTTATCATACTCAGCCTTCCTGTCTGGAGTGCCATGCAATGAGTGCTGCACTTCAGACTGGCTAAAATGCATGGTGATGGGGGTTGAGTGCAGTGAGTAAGGGTCGTAGTTTGCAGGGCTGGGTGGTGAAGCTACAAGTGTTGGAGGCAACTGGTGGCAATAAGAACCCAGATTTTGGGGAAAGTGGGTTGGCCGTGACATGGGGGCACAAGGAAAAGAGTTTTGGGACACGGGCTGCAAGCAGGGGTGGGCATCGAGGTGCTGCGCCTGCATTGCTACGAGCGCCTGTATCGAGTCTGCTTGGCACTCCATGATGCTTAGCAGCTGCTCTGTGCTTTGGTGCCGGCCATCCACATTCTGCTGGCAGACCCTCCTTTCACTCTCCAGCCACTCCTGCACTTTTTGATTTTCATTAAGGGTCTGGTGCATGACCTCATGCAGCATGTCCTCTTTGCTTCTTTGTGGATGCTTACTGATTCTTTGGAGTCTTTCAGCCATTAATAAAAAGGATGGCTGGGATCTCAAGGTTGCATCTATAAAGCCAAAATGCAACACTTACCAGAGGCAGCATTGTTTACACCAGACAGAGCAATGATTCCCCCGTACTTAAAGACAAGCACAGTGTACACAGTAGAAGAAATTGCCCATTCCAAAATGAGCACACATAACCCACAGGAGCCCCAAAATGGTGAGTAAGCATAGGATCAAACATAACTGATTGTTTCACAGCCGTATTGTCCTCTGGGGTTCTGTGCCTTGGGGAGAGCCAACAGTAGCAGGGGGCCCCTATACTGAACACTGTCCCCACATTTTCCACAGGAGTTTGTCCTGGAAGATATCTCGCTGCTGAGGGTGACCTGGGAAGCAAGGGAGGGTCTTCTACTGCAATGTGGCTTCTGCCCTGGCCCACATGCAGCTTGCCTGTGTGCAGCAATGGTCCCCCCGCCCCTCATGGCACAGTGGCGCAGACATGTTAGCCTTACTGGGACAAGGAGCACAGTAGCTCTGCCAAGGAACCTGTACAAGCGGATTGCCTAGCTTCTGCATGAGACCTTTAAAGAGATCACTGAGGCCGATTACCGTGATGTGAGATAGTCCGCATCTAGGCATGCATGCAGCCCTAACCCTGCTTGCCCCAAGAGCCCACACCGAACAACTTCCTTCCCAAAATAAAAGCTGCTTACTGGGCCCCTCCTCTGGTGTTTGTTCTTCCCCAAGCACCGTCCGCTGCAACTGGCTACCTTCCTCCTGGCTTGAAATCAGCTTCTGGCTGCATGCATCTAGGGATACCCGGCTGTCCCCCTCCTCCTCAGCACCCTCTCTACTGCTTTCCTCCTCCTTCTGCCTTGTTGAACTGGGCTCTGAAGTGTCCATGGTGGTACTCGGAGTGGAGGTGGGGTTGCCCCCAAGTATTGCATCCAGCTCTTTGTGGAATCGGCAGCTCATGGGGGAAGCGCCGGAGTGGCGGTTTGCCTCACGGGCTTTGCGGTAAGCATTCTGCAGCTCCTTCACTTTACTCCGGCACTGTAGTGCGTCCCAGTCATGGCCCCTTTCCATCATGTCCCTTGATATCTGCCCGAAGGTACTGTAATTCCTACGGCTGGAGCACAGCTGGGACTGGACAGCTTCCTCCTCCCAAACACTGATGAGGTCTAGCACCTTGCCATTGCTCCATAGTGGGGATCGCCTGGCACGTGGAGGCATGGTCACCTGGAAAGATTCGCTGAGAGCTCTCCACGCCTGGCTGAGCAAACAGGAAGGGGATTTTCAAAATTCCCAGAGAATTTAAAAGGCGGGTCTGATGGTTGGTCACCTCAGGGAAGGGCAGTAGAGTTCAAAGTGATGACCAGAGTGACTAGAACAGGCATTGTGGGACACCTCTGGAGGCCGATCAAAGGGCATTAATAGACTAGGGCATCCACACTGGTGCTGCAGCACTCCAGCCAGGGTGTGTCAAGTGTTATGCTTCTCATGGAGGTAGATTACCAGGAGCGGAGTCCAGGCGCTCTACGTGTCTTGCCAGTGTGGAAGCATCATGAGTTAGGGCGCCTGGGGCTGCTTTAATGCACGCTAGACATTTCCTAACGATCAGGGTAGTTAAGCACCGGAACAAGTTCCCTAGGGAGGTTGTGGAATCCCTGTCATTGGAGGTTTTTAAGAACAGGTTAGACAGACACCTGTCAGGGATGGGCTAGATCAGTGGTTCTCAAACTTATTTGATCCTGCCCCCTTCTTTGTGTTTGTAGTTATTTATGCTCCCTTCCCTACCCACCAGGCACCCAGTCAACAGCGACCGCTCTCTGGCCACCCAGCTCTGAAGGCAGAGCAGAGAGCAGCAGCTGCTGGCTGGGCAATACCGTGCCACCCTTACTTCTCCGCTGCTGCTGGCGGCAGTACTGCCTTCAGAGCTGGGCACCTGGCCAGCAGCTGCTGCTCTCCGGCCAGCTCTGAATGTGCACAGTAAGTTTCCCCTAAAGCTTCTCACACACACCCCAGAATATACTCCATGACCCTCCAAGGGGGTGCGTCCCCCAGTTTGAGAGCCTCTGGTCGAACTAATACTTAGTCCTGACTCAGTGCAGGGGACTGGACTACATGACCTACTGAGGTCCGTTCCAGTTCTACATTTATATGATTCTATGACACTACCCAGTAGAGTTCCCATTTTTAAATAATTTGTTCTGAATAACAAACTCATCATTGTTGTGATGTTTGTTTCATATGGGATGATGATGTGCTAGTCCAAATTAATGTTCAAGACACATCAATAAGGCTTGGAAGATGTGGGATGGCCCCCATAATCACAATGAACCAAAAAAATCAAGGCAGGTGGCAAATTCTGTATCATTGTAGATGGATGGCGCACTCTGATTTCTGAATTAAGTGGAACTTTCTCTGTTTTTTTTGTTTTGTTTCTGATTCTAAAGCAGAGAGATCTGATGAAGTCTATGGAGGTTACAGGTCTGAAGCCGTTCTGTTCCTAAACAATCATATCTGTTGTCATGGAGACAGAAGAACTGGAAGAGGTGGAAAGGCATTGCAGAAAAGCAGCCAGTGGTGTCAAGAAGGGCAGTTCTCAGCAGACAGCCTCACAGCCGGGTGTGAATTCTGAGGATGAGGAGAAGGCAGAGAGTGCTGATCATGTGACCCAGGACAGTGAGTCACAGACTCACTACATTGCCATTCAAAGAAATTCCAAGTATTATCAGTCCATGAGGCTACGGAGCAGGCAGAAAGAGAGGAATAACAGAGAGGGGATGAATGCTAGGCATGCTGTAGGTGAGTACCAGACCCAGAAGTCACTTCTCTTCCTTTTTCCACTGCAATTGGGAATGATGGGAAAAGAGGGAGCAGGCCAGTGCGGAGGGAGCTCCTGGCAGATCAACACTAGAGAAAGTGGGGGATTCCAGAACTCTTGTTTGAGGACCAGTCCTTGCCCATCTTCCACAACAGGAATTTTAGTGCCAATACATTACTAGTAGTTAGACTGGAACTGCCAAATAGCCGACTCTTTAAACACGTTCTCATTGCAGAGAACCTGAGCAGGTTTGGAACCTATGTTCTGCCTCTCTCTGAGAGAAAAAATAGTGTAAGCAGGGAAAGCCATGCGGCAAGCAAGGAGGGAGCCAGTTTGCAGGAGCACACAGCGAGGATGGAGTGGAGAAAGCGAGACCTGTACAAAAGAAGAAGAACTGCGCAGAGCGTTGGGGAAATCAACAGAGAGAACAGAAAGGCAGAGTTGCCAGGGATACGTGCTCCAACATATACATTATATTCTAGATGGGCTGAGTGTGAGACAGGCCACAGAAGCCTTCTACTCTGTCATCCAGCTGAAGAGCACACTCCCCCATCCCCAGCAAATGAGCCATGCTTCTCCTGTCAGCATAACGGACATTTCCCACACCCCCAAACAGAGGCCTGGGAGATTCTCTCCAGAATGTGGACATTCAGTATCAAGTGGAGTGCCCCAGGGGTTGGTCCTGGGGCTGGTTTTGTTCAACATCTTTATCAATGATCTGGACGATGGGATAGATTGCACCCTCAACAAGTTTGCAGATGACACTAAACTGAGGGGAGAGGTAGATATGCTGGAGGGTAGGGATAGGGTCCAGAGGGACCTAGACAAATTGGAGGATTGGGCCAAAAGAAATCTGATGAGGTTCAACAAGGACAAGTGCAGAGTTCTGCACTTAAGAAGGAAGAATCCCATGTACCGCTATAGGCTGGGGATCAACTGGCTAAGCAGCAGTTCTGCAAAAAAGGACCTGGGGATTACAGTGGACAAGAAGCTGGATATGAGTCAGCAGTGTGCCCTTGTTGCCAAGAAGGACAATGGCATATTGGGCTGTATTAATAGGAGCATTGCCAGCAGATCGAGGGAAGTGTTTATTCACCTCTATTCGGCACTGGTGAGGCCACACCAGGAGTATTGTGTCCAGTTTTGGGCCCACCACTACAGAAGGGATGTGGACAAACTGGAGAGAGTCCAACGGAGGGCAATGAAAATGATTAGGGGGCTGGGGCACATGACTTACGAGGAGAGGCTGAGGGAACTGGGGTTATTTAATCTGCAGAAGAGAAGAGTGAGGGGGAATTTGATAGCAGCCTTCAACTACCTGAAGGGGGGTTCCAAAGAGGATGGAGCTCGGCTGTTCTTAGTGATGGCAGATGACAGAACAAGAAGCAATGGTCTCAAGTTGCAGCGGGAGAGATCTAGATTGGATACTAGGAAACAGTATTTCAGTAGGGAGGGTGAAGCACTGGAATGGGTTACCTAGGGAAGTGGTGGAATCTCCATCCTTAGAGGTTTTTAAGGCCTGGCTTGAAAAAGCCTTGGCTGGGATGATTTATTTGGTGTTGGTCCTGCTTTGAGCAGGGGATTGGACTAAATGACCTCCTGAGGTCTCTTCCAACCCTAATGTTATATGATTCTATGATCTTCTGCTTTCCCAGCCAAGGGGCTCACCTGACTCCATTAGTGGAAGGGCTCATTTTGCCCTGCGGACTGTGTTCAAGGAAAGTTCCTTCCCTTCTTCAAGTCAGCTTATGAGCAGACAGTGCAAGAGCAAGGAGCTGCTGCTTAATATTCTGCTACTGTTCTCAGTGAGGTTCCTGGACAGACTGTCTGTATCCAACGCAGACCTCACCTCCACCCTGTCAGCACAGCAGCATAACGAGCTCAGAGCAGTTCTCTCTGCATCTCCTGCTTACCCACCACCACAACGCTGCAGCAGAACCAGCTCAGAGGAGGACATTGCTCCTGCACACCCATAACATCATTGCACCGGACCAGTGTATAGAATGGCATCTCTTCTGTTTCGCCACAGCACCACTGCAGAAGGACCAGCTCAGAGCAATGCTGCTGCATTACATGCCCACTACAGCATCAGTGCAGTCTGATCTGCTCAGAGCACTACTTCTCTCCTGCATGCCCACTCTGTCATTCCATTGCTGCAGTAGGATCCACTTAGAACGGGGCTTTTCTCTTGCACATCTGCAGCAATAGTTCAAGAGGGTCATTCAGAGCAATGTCTCTCTCCACCAGGCAACGCAGCAGGATTCACTAGGAGCAATACTTCTCTGCCCTGCATCACTGTAGCAAGCCCAGCCCTGAGCTATAGTTTCTCCTACTTCTCCCTCACCAAGACGGATCTGCTATTCTCTCTCACAGCAACAGGGCAGCGTATGCTTTGACACAAGCCTTAGTCTCATAACAGGAACCTCTTCTCACAGCATTTGCTGAAGTACCTGGAAACAAGGAATGGGTGAGCTCTTTTGTCTTAACTTCAAACCCGTTTGAATAGCATGAGTCCAAAAGTTTGACTCAAATGTTAATCTGTTCACATTCCACTAAGGAAAGACTCTGGAACAAAGAAGAAGAGAAAGGAAGAGAAAACCAGTGAAAACAGTGGGATGGAATACAGAACAGGAAGAAAAATCCAAATTGAAAAGCAAGAAGTGAGAGCAGAGAATGGGAATGAGAGAAAAACAAACCTAAAGGAAACTATACCCAGCATAAACAAGGGTCTAGTTTTGGGGGTGGAGAAAGATTTCCTTTAGCTAGCAAAAGAGGTTGGATTTTGTAACCAAGCTCCTCTGGCAGAGAAAGAGCATTTAAATGCGAGGAAAGAAAGGTATGAGAACTTAAGCTAGTTTTGTGAACCCTCAGAAACTGTCCCACAGGTTAGCAAAACCTTGGACTTCAGCCATTCCTTATGGAGACCCCGTGGCATCAACCAGGAGGGCATCTCTGAAACATGCTTCATTTAGGGCCTGGACCTGCACTCACTGAAGAGTGAGAGTTTTGCTACTGATTTAAAGTGGGAGCAGAGTTAGGATTTAGTGCAGAGTAAATCTAATAGAAAACATCCAGCCCCCAAAAGTGAGATGCACCCTTCCATTTCTGTGATTGCTATAGTGAGCCATGAACTTGATTGGGATTTCTACCACAGCTTTCGTTCGCTGTAAAAGCCACTCCGGCTCCTTTGAGGGAAAGAGGAGGAGCAATTAAAAGTAAAGCTCCTCCTCCTCCTACTGAAAGTTTACTTCATTTATCTTTCTATAAACTGAACTCTTTTACTGTGTGCCTGGAAGGGAGAGAGCTACTAAAGTCCTGGCATGGCAAAACAGATACCAGCACACGAGAGAAGTCCACAGGTAACCCTATCTCCCTAAATAGTGGAGATGAAAGTCACTGGCTGCTGGGGGCCAAGGTTTCAGCAGTTAAAAGTCTACTTACATGCACAAAAATGCATTTGTATGTCTACATTCATTTTCTCATTTGATTGCATATGTAATTGGAGTAAATGCACGCGTAATCATCTGCAGGCAAGTGTATGCATATGGACCTCAAGCCTGCTTGTTTGAAAAGTTGAGTCTTAGGAATCAAAATGCAGCCCAGTCTGTGTAAGTCTCTGCTTTCTCCCACCTCCTTCAATTCAAACCAGTTGTTACCCGAAGTACATGTAAAGATTGTCCCTCTTTTCTGTCATAGCTTCACTCAAAAATCGAGACAGCAGAAGCAAACCTCTGAATGTGAATGTATTATCTCGCAAGGGACCCCCAGTATCAGTAAAATCTGAAGTGAAAACCTTGGAAGAACAATGGATACAAAGGTAAGGAGGAAAAGCAAGAGGGTGGTGAGGATTGCCTAAGCTGAACAACAGGGAAGCAATGTCAGAGCTACCAGGCAGAGAGAATACTGAGCAAAATTATATCCACCAATTCATCTCATCTCACCTTAAACTGCAATGCTGTTTTCATCTCTAAAAATTATACCCATCTAGCACCTAAAACTTTTATGCCAAAACTTTATCAGTATGAGTTTGGAGGCAAAGGGTGAAGGACAGGAGGGGAGGAGAGAGAGAGGAAGGGAGTGAGGAAGATGGAAAGGAAGAAGGGGAGAGCTCCTGTCGAGTGGCATTCATTTTGCCTTTGAAGAAGCTGGAAAGCTATTTTTAAGAGTTGCAGTTTTCTTTTGAGGTACAACATGGTATCATCAGGAGCTGGTAATAGAGGTTTGTACTAAGGTACACCTATTTGCCCTAAATCCCTCACCTATGGAGGTAACATAAAGGTCTTGATCCTGCAAATCTTTCTTCAGTGCACTGTAGAGAGGTGAAGGTTGACAGATTCTGTAGATAGTGTGAGCAGACACTATGTGTGGGCACAAGTAAGGCTGAAGAATAGGTGCAAGTCCTCTACAGAGAGTGAAACCTCCACTCCGAGTCCACTCCCTTACTGTGCGCGCGTGTGTGTTGACTTAAGTGGGATCCTTAGCACGCAGATGAAGAGCTTAGCTGTGCATACTCCTCTTTTGCCTCAGTTCTGCTGCTAGGCAGGAAGAAGGGGTGGTTGCAGAGCAGGACACTCTCAAATACAGGATCATGTCCCCTGCACCTTTTACATTATGTTTATATGCACGATACTGAGTCCAAGCCTACACTGTCAAGAATCAAGCCCTGAGACTTAAATACCAGGTGCATTACACCGGGTTGTGTGGTGCCACTTATGGGCAAATGAGTATCAATGAAAGATGTTTTCCAACAACATTACCTAGGACAAGGACTCCAATAGAGAGTTTTGATGCCTAACAAATAAATCAGTGAAATCATATTTAAATAAAGTAAAATGTCCTGGCTGGCACTGGGTGTTCTTTGGTATTAAACTGAGCACTTGAAATCAGACAGCTGCAGTATGCTGGAGTGTTAAACCCATCTGCCTTCCTTTTCCTCTCCCACTGGCGTAATCCTGGCTGTCAGCCTCTGACGTCCTGACACTGCCAGTTATGCAACTATAAAGCATGCAAATTATGATCCTAACTCGGGAGTCAAGAACAATGAGCTGCTTGCTGTGAACCATATTTCATATGCTGAGGCTTGCAGAGCCTGACAGGTCAGTACAGGTTACAAGTCATGTGTCTACAGAAAGCAGGCAGTGTGACGGTGCTGAGGAAGGATCATATCTACTGCAATTGGGCAGAGAGATTCGGCATAGAGAATAAGACCAGAGTTTAAGCTCCTAAACTGAGCCCCTGTCCTTAGCTTCCCTTCCATAAAAACAGGTGTAATTTACAGGAGCACCACTGGAAATATTCATGGTGGAATAACTACAAGAATCTGGGGCTATCATTGTTATCTCCAAGCATCACTATTCTTACCATTTTACTTTGGAAAAGAGCTAGCTAAGAAGCCTAATGTCATGTACAGTATAGGGAAGTGTAGGACATCTCATACCTAATATGAAGTTGGTGCCCGTCAGCTAAGGTTTATCTGGGAGAAGGAGGCTGTGGGCCTGGATAGCAGGGACGCTTCCCACTGGAGCAGTTACATAGCCCCATAAGGTGCCTTGGGGGATGCAGCACCAGATGCAGGGGGCTGCTTTCTTGTCACTTTGAGCAGTGACATCAACACTGCAGCATCTGTGTCAGCACTGAGGCTGGGCAGGCACAAGGGTGGGGTTTTTTTTAAACATAGATTAAAATAACCAAAGTCTGCAGATTTATCAAGGAATGTGTGTGGAATTTACAACCATGGCAGCTATTTCACAGCACACAGAAACACAACATTATTATTTGGGAAAGGACGTGAGCAGGAATCCTATAGCCAGTTGAAATCACAGGGGAAAATTTGGTACAGGTACAGTACAAAGAACCTATTTATCTGACCTTATTTGGACAGGACGTTGGCCTTAACACCCTGTTCTGGGATTCTTAATAACCACAAGTAGCAAAGACCTTGCTATTATATCTCATTCAAAGCATAGCAAATTGTGCTACAAAAATGGTTAATAAAAAGTAAAATAATAAGAATGGTTTACTGTTCACAAACACTGACAGTGATGGTTTGCGGGGTACCCAGAACTGAGAGTTACCTTGTTACCCCCTACCTCCAGCATGAGGGAGTCTTGCTTGTGCTTAGCTGGGTATCAGCTCCCTAATATCACCAGTCTGTTAGCCACTCAAACACTCCTCCGGGCTATGCTAGCGCTTTGCCTTGCAGTTTAATAATAGGTGCACCCCAATCCCTTTGAAGCATTCCCTTGTGGATATGCAGCCCCGACACTGACTGCTTACAGAAATACCAGGCCTTCTGTCCCCAAAGAAACAGTATGCACACCAACTTGTAAGATTCAAATCAGGATCAGCACTGTACTTAACTCCACAGCACTGAAATATATTTATAGTGAAAACCAGAGTAAGTTTATTGTCAAAGATTCAAGTGATAGTGACTAAGAATATTAGAAACAAATGGTTACATACAAAACAAAACCATAACATGCTTTCTAAACACTAAACTAACAGGTTAACCTCAAAGTTCTCTGCAGCTTTCAAGCAAGGTTGGCTGAGATCCTGTTTTCATGAATCAAATATACTGTCCATTGACTCCGTAAGTGCAGGATGAGGGGGTGTCTTATTTCCCCTCTTAGATATACCCCCAAAGTTTATTGTCTTTGTACACAGCCAGAATACCTCCCTCCACCCCTCTAGCTTGTTTTTTCCTGTGTGCTCCTTTCTTGTTGAATATGCATCCATTTTGTTAGCTTACAATGCTTAATTTACATCCCGACACAGAGCTACACATTCCTTCCCATCTATTTTTCATCTTTGCTGGTGACTACTACCTTGATACAGACTTTAAAATATATTTTCAATTTACATTCATAACTCCTTACATAGTATCCGTATATACATTTCACAAGGATATTAAGGTCCAGTTTGACATTGGCTTTCATTTAAGAGCCCACATGACATTCTTTGGTGAACTCGAATGTACATACCAGAACCTGAATATTCCTGTAACCCCTTTGCCAGTCAGCATTCAGGGGTTCTTGTGTCACGCTGACTTTTGGAAACACTAAATTACATAAATCCTACGATGTTTCAAGTTTCCTCAGATATATTTAGTGTTACACTGAGGTAGAGTGACCATATAGCAAGTGTGAAAAATCAGGGTAAGGGGTAATAGGAGCCTATATAAGAAAAATCCCCAAATATCGGGACTGTCCCTATAAAATCGGGACATCTGGTCACCCTACACTGTGGGTTTCTTCTATTCCAGTGTACTTAACACATAGAGGAGGGAGACTACACAGAAACATGAGTTACCATACTGAACTAGAAGAGGCTCACAAAACAAGAGCAGTCCTCACAGAAGGACCAAGGTTTGCCATCTGGCCCTCTCATTCGGATCATTAACCTCCTCAGCTACCCCATTCTGCGCCCTTCTCAAGCTCTCGTCTACCTATAATTCTTCCTGAGCACTTACTAGCTCCCCCTAGTTCTCCCCAGCCTCCCCTCAGTACTCTCCTACCCACAGTCCCTGCCAAACTCTCTTTGCTTCCTCTCAATCACTAGCCTTGTAAGGAGTAGAACTTCAGGCCCTTTTGCTATAAGCCCCATACTATCCACTCTTTTGGCTTTCCCCTGGACATTACAGAGCTCAGCTCCTTCTGGTACTGCTTCCTGTTCTCTTTGGTACCCACTGCCATGGTACCAGAGGGAGCTGTACTAAACAAAAGCACCAGATGCTTCTCTCCTCCCCATAGTTTGCTGTTGTGGACACTAGCACAGCTCTTCAGCTGGAGATAGTTGTGGTGCTGATCAAACAGCATTGCCTGAAGCTACCTCCATCTGGGTTCCCCTTCACACAATCTTTTCAAATATCAGCCTCTACATGAGCATCCCATAAGTAGACCGGCAGATAGAGCAGTTATTTGAAGATGAGAGCCATCTAGTTTGCATCTTTCCTTTATCATCAGCTAATAAGATGCTGACCAGATACTAAACAGAATTAATAGTAACAACAAGGGGGAGGGAACACAAAGCAAAATAGGGAAAGAATTGGTTAATGAATATTTAGATAACTTAGTTGTATTCAAGTCAGCAGGACCTAATGAAATTCATCCTAGGGTTCTTAAGGAACTAGCTGAAGCAATATTGGAATAAAGAAAAGGAGTACTTGTGGCACCTTAGAGACTAACCAATTTATTTGAGCATGAGCTTTCGTGAGCTACAGCTCACTTCATCATCATGCTCAAATAAATTGGTTAGTCTCTAAGGTGCCACAAGTACTCCTTTTCTTTTTGCGAATACAGACTAACACGGCTGTTCCTCTGAAACCTGTCAATATTGGAATAGTTAGCTCTTAGCTTTGAGAACTCCTGGAGGACAGTTGAGGTCCCAGAGGACTGGAGAAGGATAAACACTGCATCTACCTTTAAAAGGGGGAACTAAGAGGATCCAGGGAATTATAGACTAGTCAACCTAGTCTTTCAATACCTTTCAATACCTGGAAAGACACTGGACCAAATTAAACAATCAGTTCAAAAGCATCTAGAGGATAATAGGGTTATAAGGAATAGCCATTATTGATTTGTCAAGAACAAACAAATCATGCCAGACCAACCTAATTTCCTTCTTTCACAGTGTTACTGGCCTAGTGGATGGGGGGAAACTGTAAACATGATCTGTCTTGATTTTAGTAAGTGTTTTGACAGTGTCCCACATGACAGTCTCATAAGCAAATTAGGGAAATGTGATCTATATGAAATTACTATAAGGTGGGTGCACGACTGTTTGAAAGACTGTACTCAAAAAGTAGTTATCAATGGTCTA